CTTAAAAATATGAGCTTTTTTTTTTTTTNATTTGGATAATTTATTTGTTTTCTTACTTTTAATAAAAAAGTATTACTTATTTGCAAAATACTTATAGCTTTATTGTTAAATAAGCAAATCTTAAAGGGGCCCTCTAATTAATGCTTACTGATAAACATTCTTGTCCATTGATTTTATTTGCACATAAAATCAAGATTCGAGTGAAAGAAATAAAGAAAAACAGAAATTTTTAAGGACCAAATAGAAAATATCTTTATATAAGATCATATGTGCGTATAAATTCAAGATAATTGTCTCATAGAAGCACGCGTACAACACATATATAACATGTTAGATGTACTAATTAAATTAAATATGTTTAGACATAACTAAACAAGAAAAATACGTTAAATGTTTATCTAGTTTAACGTATTAAATATATAGAGAGTATGAGACCGACGCTCAAAGGAAGCAATCATTGGTAGAGTTCGGAGACACCAAGAAGGGCTTAAGGCCAAACAAAAGGCAAAGAACCATAAGGTCTACGATGTGTATAGATTGAGCTCATAATCAAACATGTGGAACTACCTAGTCGCATTGAATTAGAAGGATATTGTGAAGTGTGTTAATTGATGCATGAGTCGAGAAGGGCAATGGTTCAAATGTCAAATTACAACACCAAGATTAAAAACGAGACTAGGAAACAATGATGGAAGTGGAATAAGAGTTTAATGGGGAACAGAACATGATAAGAAATATTGATTACCCCTAGCTAATCTTATAGGTTTCATTTATCCTAAATCAATTTGTTTCCTAACAACCGTCGACCCCTTATTTGTTTGTTGTCATGGAATGATGACTAGGATGGTGATTACACGTACGTGGCAGTCCAACCCATCACGGACGGCTTAGTGGCATTTCGTGTACTTGTCACTTTATTATAGGCTAACACGCAATCTCCAAACAACCAATCATACTATGACAATAAACGTAGGTGTATTTTGATTGGTAATCCAATCTCATTCTCTTGTCCAATTGTTGTTTTTGTTTCTGTATTCCTAATTTATCACTAGGTCATACTGTACGTTTATTATACACATGCACATATAGCTAGCCAAAGATAATTTATTTAGTCGAACTTTAAATTTATCGAGAATAAGATTTAACGCACTACAAATAATTTCTCATGTACCCTGCAAATCTTGTCTCGTTCTATTGGTTTGAAGTTTGTCGTATATAAAATATGATCACTTCATGAAAAGTTTAGGGTTTGACAAGAAAAGGTGGCAAAAAGATCCTACAATGGGGTTTCATGTTTGTTAACTTTTGATTAGAAATGGCCAAATTCTTAGTTATTTGCCGTATCCCTCTATGATTTGTTTATTAATGGTCGGTCTCCTTCTAGAAAACATGTAATCAAGATTAGGTTTTTACCCACAAAACATTAATGAAAGGACTAGGTTTACCAATTTTTTGTTTTCACACTACTGTAACACATAATCTTAGGAATTGAGCACAAAATCTATTCCAAATTATTGCACTTAACAAATATTATAATATTAGATTTTATAACATGCTTTGTTTTCTAATAGAATGGTTGTCTTTCTTTATTTTTGTGGTCCCAAATTTGTTTTGAAAAATGAAGGGCTTGAGAAAAGGCAAATGGATTGAATATTTGATTTGTTTTCAAGATTATTTGTTTCCCACTTTTTTGTTTCTTTGATGAAAACACAATATTCCAATTTTCGTCAATCCTTGACATCATGTCCAATATAAGAATAAAACACTAAAGGTCCGTTTGATTGCAAAGGTGGAAAATGGGTGAAAAGAAAATGTTTTACAGGGAATTAATTTGTCTAGAAATTGTTTTATTGGGAATTGTAATTAATTGTATTTGATTGGTATAATTTTTCACGTGAAAAATGTTGAAAGTTTGGTGTACGTTTGACTTCATTTTTATGAAAATTGTTCATTAAAGTGATAATTTTTTATTAAAATGATAATTTTTCTACCATTTGGTCTAAAATTTGTTCCAATTGTAAAAAAAAATATGAAAAAAAAAATTGAAAAAAAAAAAAATTTACCATACCGAATATCATTCGTTTGACTTTATTTTGCAAGGAAATTGTCAATAAAAGTGACACTTTATATTCAATTGTTATAGAGTTGGCTCGTATATCTGTCTTGTTATTTTGTTGAGTTCATAGCTATATCTATTAGAAGATTCAATACAAAGATTTAAGCACAACACTAGGGGTGGCCACTTTTTCTTGGAACCACATGTACTATACAGAAATCGAATTCAACCAGACAATTCGAAGCAAGTCAATTTCAATTAAAATTTTAACCGATTTCAAGTATAAAACATAAAATGAATCGAAACAATCTTTAAAATGAAAATTTTGATCCGGTTTGGCTTCATCATTGAACATGGTTCCGTGAATAGAATTTTAGTCTAATTCTTGAATTTTCTTGGATCGAATCCGATCACGTCGGACTCGTTTTTGTGAATGAGACATGAGTCTCCATAAGCAAAGAAAGGAGGGAAACAACCATGGTAATAATATCCCCTCAAAGATTTGTTATGTAAATATTATCTTTGGGGTCCATTCATGCCCTTTCAAAGACAAGCAAGAAATCAAATCAACCCTATCAACAAGATATTAAAGGTATGAATTGAACGAGGTAAAATTAAACGATAAATCATATTAAATGTGTTCACTACAACGTAAAACAAACAGAAAAGCATCATTTCATGCTGGTCCAAACTATGTCATCATATAGGGAAAAAGAAGACTTTCGGTGTCTTCTTCAACACGTCCACCCATACAAATTGATAAATACATATTCGAACTTGAACCATTTAAGATTTTAGACGAAATCATTGAACTCGTTTTTCAGCGAATTAGGCCATAGGTCCCAAGACGACCAAGAGGCAAATAGCTCTTAACCCAAGAAAGTAGCATTCCTTAGGAAATTCACTTGTCAAATGGACCTCTTTTAGCCTGCAAATCCTTCTAACCAAATCTACAAATTAGATATGCAATGTTTGCTTTTTAGACAACAATGGCTGTCAGAGGAATATAATCATAAAAATCCAAGTCATGAAGACAAAGTTGAGCCATGCTAGTGATTGTGAACAGACTAATGCTAGCCAGTTGACACATTCTACATATGGCAGCCCAATCCTTAACATGGTATATTAGGAAAGATCTGTAAAGATTGTGTTTCATGGAAAAAGTTGTGGAATGTTGCTTTTTTTTTTTTTTGAAAAATAATATTGAACTTCTTGAGATCGATAAAAAATCATGTTAATTTATTATTATTATTTTAAGCTATTCGATCGGGCTTCTCTTGATGGGTGCAACGATATTTCTAATTTCTAATTATTAGATTTTGATATGAGAACATTGTGATTTCTATATGATTCTTATCATATGTAAATAATGAATTATTCTTGTGGTACATCACAAGATACATAATGGTGTCCATAATAGACACCCGGCGCCCCTCTATTGGTTGGGGAGCTTGTGGGACCGGCACCCCAACCAATGAAAGAGCGCCGAGTGTCCATTATGGACACCCTTATGTAACTTGTGATGTACCACAAGAATTGTCCGTAAATAATAGTAGTTGATAGTTTTTTCAAGTAAACGTGTTATGAATATCGTTGAAGTCGAAATTGAATACTGTGATTTCTATTCGAGTCTTATCTTATGTCGATAAGAGCAGTTGTTAGTTTTTTCAAGTTACCATGTTGACTAAACTCACCTTTTTGGTTTATTTATTTCAATATGTTACCAATTGTTTTCAAATATTATTAAATTCAAGTAACATTAGAATATTGTTAACTAAAGTATTGTCTTTTCTTCACTTTTATTAGCCGGGTGTAACATATTTGACATAGATAACGATGTTAAACAAAAAAACTAAAACATGACTTGAACTTTTATAAAATGCAGTTTCAAAATTAATTGCATAGCATTCAAGAAGGTAAATGATTCATACGTGCAATCATACACTAGGACTGTCAATAAATTGAATTTTGATCTGAATACGATGAAATTAATGGAAGATGGATTCAGGGTCTCCGTCCGGTAACTCGATCAAGATCCAAATCCAATAATCTATTAACTAAATCGATCAAATATAGATATAAGTCAATCCGATCTGATAACAATCTGATCAGATTTGTTATAAATAATTGAGTCGATAAAATATTTATATGACATATTATTTGTGACTAAAATAGATAAATAAATTTAGAATAAAAAATTCAACAAATTCAAAACATAAAAAAATTGAAACATTTATAATTATTAAACACGTTTAAGAATTGGAAAAATAAATAAATAAAGTTGATTCCAACATTATTTTTTTTTTCCTAATTTTTTTAATTTTGGATTAGATTATCGGATCGGATATCTGACAACATAGCAAAACTGATATGAATTTAATAATCAAATATTCGTTGAATTATCGGATCGAATATAAGTAGATTCGATCCATTTACTGCCCTAGCGTACACATGTATATGTGTGAAAATGTACATGACGTATAGACAAAGTTCATTGTACATCAATCTTTTCTTTGTGTTCATCATTACAATCAAATATCAATATCTGTATTTCACACTATTTCATGTAAATTTAATATAAAAAATTATACGCAATAAATAAAACGAATTCATTTTTATAAAGTTTTCAAATCCAATGGAAAGTGTGTGAAAATGTGAGATCTATGAAAAAATACTTGCTTGTGACTTTTTTGTTCAACTTGGTTTATGTGGTGATGGCTTTCTCTTTGCAAACAAAAGAGCCCAAAAAGGAAAAACAAAAGAAAATCTTGACGAATATCCACCCAAGTGTGCAGTCTTCATAACACAGAAGATAAGTTGACTTTCAACCCAAAACCATCTCTTTAAATTCCCTCCTTCCCTCCTCAACTCTTCACCTCTGCCTCTTCTATATATCAACTTAAAGAGTCTCCTTACAACACAAAAAAAAAAAGCATCAAAAAACATGAAACTCACATCCAAACAAAACAACATTCTTCCCATCAGAAGCTTCACAATTTTGTTAATAGGTTGCTTGGCTATAAAACTAAGCCTCTGTTTCTCTAGTTTTCCATCTTCACTTGAGGCACTGAATGTTGAAGGGAATTTTAGTTTTGACAACAATGAATTTGCAGCCAGAGATTTCGGAAAACGGTTCCAGTTCCTTCCATCGGCAGTTTTGCATCCAAAGTCGGTATCTGATATTGCCACCGTTATAAAACATATTTGGCAAAAGGGTCCTGGTTCCAGGCTGACTGTTGCAGCTAGAGGCCATGGACACTCACTCCAAGGCCAAGCCCAAGCACCACAAGGGATTGTAATCAACATGGAATCACTCAGTGGGCAAGAAATGAAGGTCCACACCGGGCGATTTCCTTATGTTGATGTCTCGGCTGGCGAGTTATGGATCAATATCCTGCATGAGTGCCTCAAATTTGGGTTAGCACCAAAATCTTGGACAGATTACTTACATCTAACAGTTGGTGGTACTCTGTCCAATGCCGGGATCAGTGGACAGGCATTTCGGCATGGCCCCCAAATCAGTAATGTCCACCAGCTCGAGGTCGTCACAGGTTTGTATGAGAAAAACTAAATTAGGGGTTGACTTAAATTATTTGTTTTTGATGCTATGGAATCCAACTAATATGCAAGATTCCCCTGTTTCTGCGAAGATCGTTGGAACATATAGGTCATTGAATTTGAATTTATCAAAGAAAATTACATCAATCTTGTATCAATTTTTCACCAATGTACACTTGTTGCAGGAAAAGGAGAAGTGAGAATTTGTTCAGAGGAGCAGAATGCTGACCTCTTTCACGGAGTTCTGGGTGGACTTGGCCAGTTTGGTATAATTACTCGAGCAAGAATCTCTCTAGAGCCAGCACCAAAGATGGTAAAAATCTACCAATCCTGCCAAAACTCGATTATAAGCCTTTGGAATAACAGAATAGTTTGACAAACTTGTAGTTCAACTGTCAACAGGTAAAATGGATCAGAGTACTTTATTCAGATTTCTCCACTTTCGCCAGAGATCAGGAGCATTTAATAACTGCAGAAAACACATTTGATTACATAGAAGGCCTTGTGATGATAAACAAGACGGGTCTCATCAATAACTGGAGATCATCTTTCAACCCGCAAGATCCAGTTCAAGCCAGTAAATTCAAGTCGGATGGAAGGACTCTCTTTTGCCTCGAATTGACGAAAAATTTCAATCCCGGCGAGGCTGATAAAATAGACCAGGTGAGGCATATCACAATCCCATATTTTAGTGCATGGTCACAACTATGTAAATGAAAAGGCCTTAATATTCCAATTTATCGACTCTGATGCAGGAAATTGAGAGCATGTTATCTCAATTAAGCTACATCCCCTCGACGCTCTTTATGTCAGAAACTTCTTATGTAGAATTCTTGGAAAGGGTTCATGCAGCCGAGCTAAAACTGCGATCAAAAGGATTGTGGGATCTCCCACACCCTTGGCTCAATCTCCTCGTTCCGAAAAGCAAAATACACAGCTTTGCTGGTGTTGTTTTCGGCAACATTTTAATGGATACAAACAATGGCCCCGTCATTGTCTACCCAGTAAACAAATCAAAGTAACAACTCATCACAACAACTTGTTCACTCAATCAATTTTTAAAGCTCCATATTTACACATTTATTATTTTTTCAGGTGGGACAACAGAACTTCAACTATACTTCCGGAAGAAGACATTTTCTACCTTGTGGCATTCCTTCCCCATGCAGTTCCCTTGTCCACAAAAAATGACGGCTTGCAACCTCTGTTAAGTCTAAACAAAAGAATTTTAGATTACTGTGAGGAGGCCCACTTGGGAGTAAAACAATATCTTCCTCATTATACCACACAGGAGGAGTGGAGGGCCCATTTTGGCCAACAGTGGGAAGTCCTTGTGCGGCGAAAATCAGCATACGACCCTCTAGCAATACTCGCTCCAGGGCAGAGAATTTTTCAAAAGGCAATATCCATCTTATGACAGGCAAAACTTTAGTATAAAGGAAAGAGTGGTCTTACAGCATTTTCAGGCAATGCAACGGCTAAAGGTTCAGCAACTTCTTGTGGAGGGGATGAATATACGAAATTCAGGAAAATACAGGAGCTGCAATTAGTATATAAATATTAGTTCAATATTTCTTGCACTGTCTCAGCAACTGTAGGTATATAGAGGAGGCTCGAAAACCGGTCAAGATTCAATCAAAACTTCATCACATATTCATGATAACTTAGCGGACAGCTATATTTTCAGTTCTGGAAATAAATAGTTTCTTCAATAGTAACTCAATTCCTAAAGCAGTGGTTAAACAAAAACTCTTAAAAATAGATTTTTTTTAACCATTCTCCATAGTGTGAAGGAGAAGAGGAAAAAGAGTGCTCAAGACATGAAAAAGTTAAATTGATGCGATTTGCACAAACAAAATCGACCATCTGCAGACCATGGACACATACAAACCAAGAAAGTGATAATTTGAAAGATTGAGTTGATTTGAAAGATTGAGTTGAATCTTCAAGCCGCATCAATTGACCTATTGTCGTGTACAATTATTTAAACTTCATTCTGGTGAAATTGTGTGCTGTGACATGCTACAACCAATTATAGCTAGAATTACATAAAGATCTCTGCTAAAAATTACAAAATAATCTCGCCTAATTCAATCATATAAAATGGATTAACTTCTTCAGGAATTCTCCTTATAGAGTATGAATTCATTGACATCATTATATGTTTATAAGTAGTAGAAATACAAGAATAACTTACACCATTTGTCTCAAGCCATAAGATGACAATTGTAACGTAAAGAATATTGACGGAGGGAAATTAAAAAGCTATCTGAATGAATTAAAAACCATGAAAATGGTTGCTTGGAAGACATCATTTCATCCCTTCGATTGACAGGATAGCCAGCTGTCATAATGTACAATGAAAGCAAGCAAAAGCTCCTTAGATTAACGAAGACTATCAATGTTTTAACAGAAGTAATAAAGTTTTCTTTGCTACACCTTACCCCAGGAAAAGGAAAGAAAATTATCGCGCCATGAGTTTCATATTCTTATTTCCATGATTATCCTTAAAACTCCTTTAATTTTCACATTTTTTCCCAGTTGAATTTTATTTGGCTCAACCTCTTTTCATGTTTGTAAAAATCCAATTGATAACAGAACATAAAAAAGCTCACGAAGAACGCTAAACTCAAAGAGGGAGCTTTTGGCTATTCAGATGTTATTGAATCAGCATGACAGAACAGTTTGAGCATTTGTGCAAATAGTCCAAAAATGGAAGCTTCTGTAAGCCAACAGTGCCTTAGGAATAACAATGAAAAGATATATTCATACATCAACCTCAATGATCTTCATGCATTAACTGAGGAACAGTTTGCTTTTATATGTACCTTAAAGTTCAAACGATTCTGCTCAAAGCTCCAATCAGAGATAGTCAAGCATAGCTTCAGTTCTTACATACAGGAACCATAATATTGAAGGCTGTTTTTTAAACTGAAAATAATTGATGGATTTCATAACTCAAAATAATCATGGAATTATTGTAATACCTATACAGTATCTGCACCTGATGACTGCATACGATAAGTGCAGAGTGCAACATAAAAAAAAAATCACAGCATAAAAAATGCGCACATGTTACTTATATGTTGTCGGATTGTAACACAGAGAAATAATCCTGGAAGTATAATCTCTTCTATCTATTGTTACCTTTGACTAAGAGTTGCTGTCTTCCTGTAAAATATTTGCATCAGTTGTTGCTTTCGTGATGACAGCATCAAATAATGTCGGTAAAACACTCATCAACGAAAAAGTGCAAACACACTGGAAAGAGCATCAATTCAATTCTTAATCAGTGGCAGCTAGAAAAAGTAAAAACTGATGAGCAACATTCACTACTTAGTGGTTGTTTTACTTTCAAATATTCCATTCTTGGTGCTACCTATCCAGTTAAAAGTAGAATAGCATGATCGTGCATTGCACACCAATAAGGAAAGGTAGTTGCTCTCATGATCACAAAAGCAGAAACATTTCATCATTAACAGTTAGAAAATGATTCGTGTAGATGAGAAGATCCACAAAAGAGGATCAAGTTCAACTTGAGCACTGCTCAGAACCCAAGGCCCAAAGTCAATGCAGAGAAGTTAAATGTACAGAACACTTTTTGACACACTTTAACGGACTACGATAGGCCAGAATGCTGAGAAGATCAAATTATTCCATTCTCTTAAACTTTCGACTTTGGTAGATTCCAATCATATTGGTCTTATCAAAATTCTCTTTAAATTACTACGTGACTGTGCATGTTGAATTGCAAATAGCTGGAAGATTTACAAAGTTAATGCACTCAGTTTCATCATCTTCTTGTTCTTTAAAGTACTGAACCATTTCAAGAAGTGATCTTCCCAAATGTTTACAATATACTCACATTCTTATATCAGTTGAATTTATTTCTCCATTCACAGATCTTGCAATTCCGACCCTAAACCTGTATTTATTTAATTGATGTTTCTCACAACTTACTATCATCTTGCACGTGCTATCGAACAAGCTCTAATAGTTTGTTCCATTCCTAAGATCGACTCGTGTCCACTTTATCTACAACACCTTGCCATACGTCAAATACTTTATCCATGACAAGAATCGGCAAGGCATCTTAAGTTCGACTTGAAACTGTGAATATTAGATATAAGCTTCAATTGTTTCTTGATTCAAACTGTTGGGTTTTGATACTCAATAAATCCGGGTTATGATGTTAAATCGGTATTTTAGTTGGATAATATTTCATACGCCTCGGCCGATGATTGATATGATATGATGACACCACAATCGGACCAATCGAATCACGTAACCCACT